TTGCCTTTCTTTCACTTTTATTTTTTCGCCTTTCTCTGTAATTTTTCGTCGTGATTTTCCTTTTTTCTTTTTATTTCCACGATGATTGCTTATTCACCTGATGTCTGCCTTTCAAAACTTTAGATTTGTGTATTATTTTAATTTCGAGTTATTGTGAAATTCAATTTATTCTATGCACACGTAAAAACACTTGTTGCTCCGATCACTGTCGCTCTTAGAATGTGCTTCTCCTTTGTGTTAAGCATTCTCGAGCCTGTGTGTAGCGTTCGGATGTGTGCGACTGTCTGTGTTTTTGTCATGCGACATTCTCTTAACCAATCAGCGTTCTCGGTTGAGCGTCACTTGCCTTCTCTTTTGCTCTCACGTCGACTGTGTAGCACGCTGTTTGTCGCCTTTGAGTGTGCTGTCGAGTGTGCATTCTCGATCTTTCGAAATGTGCACATTTGAATTCTCGGAACTCGTCTCGTTTTACGACGTTTCGAGAATATTCTATTCTTCTTACACGCCTGCTGTAATGTTTGGTTTCGTTTGTCAATTTTATTGACTTACTCGAGCCTTTTCCCATTATTTACAGATCTTTGTCGCCTTTTTTCATATTTATTTTTTTTTTTTTCGTCGCCTTTCTTAATAGGTTTTGCTCATATTGTCACTTGCCTTTTGTGACTTTTTTTTTTTTTTATTTTAGAGCGAAAGTCAAAGTCCACCGAACACGTTTTGCCTTTCCCATACATTCTCCGCTGCATTGTGCTCTGCCTTAATGAGCTGCCGACGGATTTTATGGCAAAAAAAGACACATGCACTTTGACCCGACTCTGTCATCGATTCGAAGGACCATGTTCGATGAGCTGCTTAGAGCGAGTCGGTCAATATATTTTAACACAATAAAAGTCTTTGTTTTCGATTTTATTATATTTTATTTATGCAAGTTATTCGGTGGCTTGCCTCCGCTCTTCATGAGCGTAACTTATTAACTAACTTAATCTAAAGACGACGCTTGCGTCGTCGGCTCCTATATTTGGTTGTTGCTGCCGCTTCGATGTTTCTCGGTGCGGAGAGTATATACGGTTTGCCTAGCCGTATGCCTGCGTATGCTCTCCGCTCCGAACAGTCCCCCGCTTAAAATTGTTTGTAATTTTAAGCCCAATATTCTAATTCCTCATCAATCGGAAGGACGCATAGCTTCCTAATGGATCGCTCCAGTACGGAAGTTTCTGTCTGGAGCTTTGCTGATCGTACCTTCCCGTCACTGCCTTCGAATGTTTCAATGACTCGTGCCATTGCCCAATAAGTCGGTGGGAGGTTTTCATTTTGAATCAGCACGAGCTGTCCTGGCCTTAGGTTTTGATTCTCTTCCTTCCATTTTGGTCTTTGCATCAGAGAAGCAATGTAGTCTTGATGCCACTTTGTCCAAAATGATTGTGTCTGAAATTGTATCTCATTATATAATTTCTTCGCTGTTTTGGGCGGTTCGCCTGTTTCCTCTGGCAGTGGCAATTTCAATGGGCCTCCCGTTAGGAAGTGCGCCGGAGTCAGAGCCATTGTGTCCTTTGGGTCGTCTGACATTGCGCATATGGGGCGGGAGTTTAAGCATGCCTCTATCCCACTGATTAATGTTGATATTCCTTCGTATGAATATTTTTGCGGGCCTATGACGCGCCTTAGATGGTGCTTCATGCTTTTCACTGCGGCTTCCCATATTCCGCCTTCATGTGGGGCCGCTGGTGTTATGAATTTCCATTGTGTGCCTTTACGTTGCACGAAGTCTTGTATTCTGGTATTCTTCCATGCTTCCTCTGCCTCTTTGAGGATTCGGTCTGAAGCTATGAAATTTGTGCCGTGATCGCTGTACATTTTTTCTGGATTACCTCTTCTTGCCACGAATCTTTGGTAGGCTAGCAGAAAGGCATCTGCTGAGATATCCATTACTGCCTCAAGATGTATCGATCTCGTGACTAAACACACGAACACTACGATATATCCTTTCACGTCTGGTAGTGTTCTTCCTCTTGTGTTTGTATTTATTTTGTCGGATAATTTTACGTTAAATGGACCGGCTAAGTCCGTACCTGTGAAGTTGAATGGCCTTGCCGGGTTTAGCCTTACGGCAGGGAGTTCGGCCATTATTTGCCTTTCAGTTTGTTTGGCGTATCTGATGCATTTAACGCACTTGTTTACACATAGCCTTGCCTGTGAACGCAAAGATGGTATCCAGTATCTTCTTCGTAAGTATGCCATCATCATTTGTGGTCCCCCGTGCAGGGTTTCCTCATGTGCTGCTCTTAATAAGAGGTTTGTGAGCCTTGAATTTGGGGGAATTATTGCTGGATGCCTTGCTGTATATGGCATTTTCATTGCTTTGTCCAGTCGACCGCCAATTCTCAATATGCCGTCTGAGCCGAATATTGGCTGTAGGACTCTGATTTTGCTTTTATTTGGTAATTCTTGGTTCTCTGCCTCGAATGCCTGTATCTCCTTTGGGTACGCTTTGCTTTGTGCCTCTTTGATCCAATATATCTCTGCCTGTCTTAGTTCCTCTGCTGTGGGATTGCTTGATTTAATTCGCAACTTTTTTGCTTTGCCTTTAAGCTTTATATTCTTAATGAAGCGTAAACAATACGCTGTTATGCGGAGTATTTTTCTCCAGTTATTTGTTGTATCGAACAAGCTTTCTTCGCCTATTGTGAGCATCATCACGACCGATGTTGGCTCTTTATTTATCTTAAGTTCCTTTTTTATTTCTTCCTTTAGTTCATCTTCTGGTCTTGTGCATTTGGCATTTGGCCATAATGCCTCTGGGTATTTTAACCATTTTGGGCCTTCCTTCCATAACGCATGTTTTATTAGATCTTTTGGCCTCATTCCTCGACTTATGAGGTCGGCCGGGTTGTCTGATGTTGAGACATATGCCCATGCCTGTGTGGTGAAGGTTGAACTTATTTCCTCCACTCTGTTTGCTACGAATGCCTTCAACTGGCCGGGGTCTTTATTTATCCAGTAAAGTGTTACCATTGAATCAGACCATAACTGGTATTTCGCATTTGGGAGTGCTGCCTTTAATATTACTTTTTTCATTAGCCTTGTGAGTAATAACGCGGCCAATAGTTCCATTCTCGGAATTGTGATTGGCTTTAGTGGTGCTACCTTTGATTTTGCTATCAGCAGTGTGCACGATATTTTGCCGTCACTATCGATCACTTTTAGATATATGACCGCTCCGTACGCCTTAAAAGTTGCATCACAGAAACCATGATATTCGGATAATGATGTGCCTTTTGTTTTTATCCATCGTGGTATTCTGAACTCTGTTAGTATTGTCAACTCTTCGAGGTACGTACGCCATTTGCCTTCCAAATTACTGGGTACTGGATCGTCCCATTTTAATGCTTTATGTTTCCATAAGTCCTGCATTATCATTTTTGCCAGTATGACCACTGGTGATACAAAACCGTTTGGGTCGTATAGTTTTGTGATTTGGCTTATTATCTGCCTTTTTGTGTAGTTTCCTTTTTTGAGGCTTACTTTGACGAATATTGTGAGTTCGTCTGTATCTTTCAGCCATCTTATGCCTAACACCTTCGCCTCTTTAGTGGTGTCTCCTATATCTATTTCCTTTGTGGCGTTTGATTTCATTAGGCTTTCTAGCTCATTGCTATTGGATGCCCATTTGCTTAATTGAAATCCTCCTTGAGCCAGTACCAATTGGACTTCTCGAGCCAACACTTTTAATTCCTCGACAGTATCGGCACCGAATAGCCCATCGTCCATATAAAAGCATTGTTCTATTACTCTTACTGCGTTTGGATATTTGTCCTGCATATCCCTTGCGCATTGAATCATCGTTCTCACAGCAACGAAGACTGATGAAGCCAGGCCATATGTCACTACGGTCAGATTATATTCCTGTAGTGGGTCTGATGGCTTTTCTCTCCAAAATATTCTTTGAAGATCCCATTGAGATCTAGCTATGTTTACTTGCATAAACATACTGACTATGTCCGTTATGGCTGCGTATTTATATCGCCTGAATCGCATAATTTGGTCGTGCAAATCGTGTTGCAATTTTGGGCCGATCATTTGAATCGAGTTTAGCGATTCACCTGTACTCGTTTTACAGGATGCATCGAATACCGGCTTGAATTTATTTTTATTTATCGCGTGGTGCGGTATGTAGTTCACGCGACCATTTGGTATGCCTGCCTTTACCATGTATCCTTTTGCGATAAATTCGTTAATTTTAGCCGTATATTTTTCTCTGAATTCAACGTTTGCCTGCATTCTTTTTTCCAGTTGGAAGAATCGTCTTAGTACGATGTTTTTTGACTCGCCTAATTTGCATAACGAATCTCTTCTGAATGGGATTTTTACTGCGTATCTTCCTTCCTTGTCTCGGTAGTAATTCTTTTTATAGAATTGTTCGATTAATTTATGCTCTACTGTTAGTGGGAGTATATCATCCACGCATTCCTCAATTTTCCAGAATTTTTGGAGTATTTCGTCCAATTTTTCATTTTCTCCTTCCTGAATACTATAGACGGCTACATTATCCGTTTGCTCCTCAATATTTTGGTCAATAATGGCTTTGCCCAAAATAATATTGCCTAGTGCTGTTGTGAGCATTATTGCGCCTGAAGTATGTTTGTATAGGCCAAGTCTTAATACTTCGGCCCATACATCTGCTCCCAATAGTATGTGTACTGGGTTTGGTGTGTCGAAGTAATCATCGGCGAGCAACATTTCTTTATCATACGGCCTTAAATTTGGTATTGCGTGTTGTGGTTGTCTTGTGAATTTGCTTGGTACGACGTATAAATCAAGTCGCATTGTAAAATTTGAGTTGAACCACGGTTTTATAAATGCCTTTACTTTTTTAGTCATCAGTACATCCCCTCCAATTCCTAAAATCGATTTGTAGCACCGTACAGTCGGGATTTTCATTTGCCTTACACAATCCGCCGTGATGAGGCTTGCCTGGCCTCCGGAGTCTAAAATCGCTCTGCATAGTTGGGAGATAAACATACCGATTTGTAATCTTATACACGCTGTAGCGAGTACTATTGTATATTGCTCACCTGTGCTAAACTTCTGTCTTTTGTTTGATTTGTTTTGGTCGTCTTCATCTTCGTTGACGTTCAGCGACCAATCGCCCACCCGTTGTACTGTTGAACTAACGGATTTTGTGAGCTCAGCCTTATTTTGTTTTGCTCTTTTTCTTGTTGGTTGCCCAGTCATATCCGCCTGGTCTGATGGGCGTTTGCCTAGTCAAGGTTTTTCCTGCTTTGTTTTTGATGCATTTTTGGCTTGTTCTTGAGCGAGCAGTACCGTGTTGCGCTTTGCCTCACGTGTTGGGCATAGCCAGCTGTTGTGGAAGGCACGCTGTGGGCATTGCGGGCAAGGGTTATTGCATTTTTTGACGGCGCATTCAGTTTCACCGTGATTTGCTCGCAAGCATCGCCACCAAAGGTTCTTCTGAAGTGCGTGCTGTTTACGGCCAGCTAAATTCATTCCGGCCCATGTTTGGCAATGGAATATTGAGTGGTCTTCACCACAAACTTTGCACATTTCGTAGCCAGTTGCAGGACGCGTTTTGTTTTGTTGACTGCCTTGCTGTCGCGCGTTTGCTCTGTTCTGGCTTGGCTCACGAGATGGTGGTGGTGAATTATTGCCTGCATCAGAGTGCATGTAAACACGATATGTCTCTTCGAGGAACTCATTCATTTGTTCCCATGACGGAATTTTCTTCGAGTTCTCTCGAATTGTCTTGTTCAAGTCTTGCGTTGAGCCTTCGTAACTTGATTTCATAAGATTTCTGGTGCGGTAGTATTCCCATGACTCTTTTGTTTTTGAGTCCAATTGGTCGAGTACTGTAAAGCACAGCCATGGGTCCCAGCTATCCGTTTTCACGTATGTTGACAACTGCGTTATGCATTGGTGGACAGTGTCAATTATTGTTCTAATGCCTGTTTTTGATGGACGATTTAATTTTGGTAGTGCGTTTAATTTACGTACCAATGTTTGGACAACCAAATAGTCGTCCTCGTAAATCATTTCCAATTTACTCCAAGCCTTTTTGTAGTTGTCTTCCGTTATATCCCATTTTCCCATTGTGACTGCCGCTTCGCCTTTTATTGCTTCGGTCAACAATAGGAATTGGTTAACGGGATCGAGTTCTTTTGTTCCTGCTTTGAACCGATCACGAAAGCTTGGCCATAAATCGTGGCCTTTGTGAAATTCACCCCACGTGTTTTTGATTGACGACATCGTTTCCTTGTGCTTCAGTACCATTGGTGTACTGTGAGCCGATGCCGTTCCAACGTGTTGTATGATTTCACTTGGTGCCGCCATTTCCTTCATGCGGTTTTTGAATTTGTCACGCAGTGCGTGGTACATGGTTTCGGTTTGTTCGAATTCATTTGCCTTTTCTATTTGCTGATTTTCGTCCAACTTACCGATTATTTCGAAATATTCCTCTTCATATTTCTTGTATGTTTCAGCGATTAACGTTAGTTTATCCTCTATTGCAACAATTGAGAAATTGTTGAATTCGTCTTCCTTTGATTTGTCGTCGAAACGCTTGAGCACTCTCAAATAATGTTCATATTTCGGTGCCTGCATTTTACCGTTCACTGAACTAAATTCGTGGGACACTTTTTTTCTTTCTTGCCTTTCTTTCACTTTTATTTTTTCGCCTTTCTCTGTAATTTTTCGTCGTGATTTTCCTTTTTTCTTTTTATTTCCACGATGATTGCTTATTCACCTGATGTCTGCCTTTCAAAACTTTAGATTTGTGTATTATTTTAATTTCGAGTTATTGTGAAATTCAATTTATTCTATGCACACGTAAAAACACTTGTTGCTCCGATCACTGTCGCTCTTAGAATGTGCTTCTCCTTTGTGTTAAGCATTCTCGAGCCTGTGTGTAGCGTTCGGATGTGTGCGACTGTCTGTGTTTTTGTCATGCGACATTCTCTTAACCAATCAGCGTTCTCGGTTGAGCGTCACTTGCCTTCTCTTTTGCTCTCACGTCGACTGTGTAGCACGCTGTTTGTCGCCTTTGAGTGTGCTGTCGAGTGTGCATTCTCGATCTTTCGAAATGTGCACATTTGAATTCTCGGAACTCGTCTCGTTTTACGACGTTTCGAGAATATTCTATTCTTCTTACACGCCTGCTGTAATGTTTGGTTTCGTTTGTCAATTTTATTGACTTACTCGAGCCTTTTCCCATTATTTACAGATCTTTGTCGCCTTTTTTCATATTTATTTTTTTTTTTTTCGTCGCCTTTCTTAATAGGTTTTGCTCATATTGTCACTTGCCTTTTGTGACTTTTTTTTTTTTTT